GTAGGCAAGGTTCAAGTCTATAGTTCTGTTGATTATGCCAGTGGAGGACCAACCTTTGAGTACTAGTCTTGCCGTCTTCGCATTGGTCCTGCCGGTCACTCTCGCTTTTTCAAAGGCGAAGTCGTGGTTCAGCTGTTACATGTGACCATAGACCAAAGACAGCTTTTCCTTACGGTTGACCGCAAGTCGATATTCGTGAAATCTTGCGCCTAGGCGTTAGCCCATTTCACCAACCGACCTCCCTTGGATTCTATATTTGATTCACGTTGAGAATAATTTTGTTTTTCAAGGGAAATTCGGTGAAGACCTTGTTTTAATACCCTGTCCTTCATAAAGATGGCAATAGGAGTGATATTGGGGAGTTTCGAGACTGGACAGCCTGATAAATGCTCACTAGCGCAAAATCTTCAGCTGCATAGGCCAGAACACTCGACTCATCAATGGCATGCCAATATACGTATATATGCGAGTTCCAGGAAGCATTTCAAAACAAGAAGACGCGACCACTGGAACAAGAGCTTTATTTTCCTGACGTTTCGGACTCCGTCATGCGCATGACTCAGACTATGCCACCAATAACTATGATCAAGGATTCCTGACGGAATCCGAAACGTCAGGAAAATAAAGCTCTTGTTCTAGTGGTTGTGTCTTCTTCTTCACCAATGACACTAATTTTGAATTCAGGCCAGGGATTTGAGTATACATAAACAGCTCGCATGAACATCACTCTGTATCCTGGAAGGCTTAGTTTTCAGGAAATTTTTTATAATCTCTAGAAATTGCTTTCAAAACATCAGATGACATTGAGCTTCATAAACATACGCCTTACCACATCTTTTTAGCAATTTCTTCCCGGACAATATCTTCGGGATAGCCATCAATGTGGTATGTATAATAATTTTTGTTGAACTCACAAATTCCTGAACAGGTTTTTACACGTGCATGTGATTTAGTGAACGCTTTAAACATCTTTTTTACACAACAACAATGAGGACAGCCTCAATTTATAAAATCTGATGAAGGATCACCAACATCCTATCTCGAAACGCATATTGACTCCTTGTGTCTGTATCGATTCAGTTGACATAATCTTCAGTGCGACACCATCGGATACCAGAGTTGTCATCTATGGACTTTACTCTCTTCCCAGACTCCAGTGGATTCAAGTTTTTTGTCGCTAAACGACGAGGTTTTATGTTATGCTGGCGTTAAAATGTGTTTTGCACTCAAAAGAAACACAACGCATGACAGCAACTCATGTAGCCTATGTAGTTCAGCAGTTTGCTTTTCATAGACGTTTACTAAGCTGTTCAAGTTATTGTCAAGCTAAGATCTCAGTTAACTTTAACTGGGCCTCTGGGTACAGATTTTGAGGAGGTGCAGGCGATTCAAAATCGAATAGGGTGGATTTGTGACAAAAAAAATTTTTGAAATTTCCTCTAGAAGTTCCGATGAAATGCCTGGCGCTTAGTACTAACATTTGGAAGCAAAGTCGAGCAGCCAAGTAAATGGTCAAAATGAAAAATGTAATTTGTTGCAATCGTAAGGTTATAATTCTTATAGGCATTACTTTAATTACTAACTTATGAAAGTTCCCGGAAAGACGAAAGAAGTAAATAACTTTCTTAGGTAACAATGAGTGCAGAAGTAATTTCAAATAATTTAACTAATAAAAATGGGGAAGTAAAGGCTCACCCTCCAGCAAAGTGCTGCCTGAAATTTCTTTTTATTGCCTGCAGATAGTTGATCTAGAAGTAAACACGGCAATTTGCATCTATTCACGTTAATTTGATAGGAACTAGTGTACTGCACCATTGCTTTGAAATCACTGTTGATTCCGATACTGGCCGACAGTTATTCATGTCGAATCTATGGTTTCCTGGGCAAATTAAGTAGATGATTGTTACCGTTGGAATAAGCGTTACAGTGCTGACGAAATTTAAAGTCGTATGGGAACGTTGTAATCATCTACTTGTAGGACATAGTGAGGCTTACCCTAAAAGATGCTCCTACTCAAACACAATCATTTATTCTCTAAAGCAAAACGCCGAATCCCAGAACCGTCCACTCCAGCTTTTTGAGAAAGGTAATGTGTCACGGAAGAGAGGGAGAGACTTGTTTTTCTTAAGGACTATGGTCACTAAGACCAAATGTTTAAGGTCACTGGGAGTTAATCCCAAGGGATGACTGAAATTGATCACCACCCTTCCACGCACTCTGAGTATTCGCAATTATAACTGACAGAATTTGGATCCATAGGTTCGTTGCTAGAGCCGTGTACTTAAAACGATGTTCCGTGGCCAACTGGGCCAGTACCTGCCTAGAATTAAATTCTAGCTACCAGAGGACGACAAACAAGTTAAAAAGTTGTTCTAATAGTTATCTTTAGCTTTAACAAAACACTTCGCGATTGATTTGGCTTGTGTACAGTCCCAGCTTTTGAGGAACAGCTCGTGAAAGAGCAACTTAACGATCCTGGTAGTGATTTTCCTAGGCATTCTCTCGCTTTTGTCATCAGGGATGGTTCATGCCCTCTTTATAAGCCCTTTACCTTAATTTTAAATATCTTTTACCAACAGTTTGCAATTGAGCCATTTATAATCTTTATTTCAGGCGATCAGCGATTTTGATAAGCCACAAACAACACCAAATAATGAGACAACTTACAATTTAAAAAACATTGAGGGAACAAATATGATCGGTGAGTATATAAAATACGATGGACTGAATTCCAACGATGACTTTGCCAGTTCCTATTTGTGTCCCACCCTCTTGGTAGCATGTTAATGGCCACGTAAAAGCTTCCTTTGTGATATTTTCAAATCTTCAATATGTTTTTTGTTCACAGGGTATGACCTTTGGTGTATTGCTCCAGCCTTCGGAAAAGTATACGTCCAGATGCTGTGAGATATTTTTAGCAGATGATTGGTATTGATATAATATCCTAACTAGACCTGTATCGCTAAAAATGGCAAAAAGGATGGCACTTTGTCGCGATGTAAGCTTTACGCCTGCTCCATATGCCGTGCAGTAATGCTTTATCTAACCTTCGCCATCTGTTTCGGACAGAATTTATGAAATAGGTGCGCTCATTGATTCGGTTACGGAAAGTGCTGATCAGCCAGTAAGCCGAAAATGTTCGTTCTGGTCTCTCTATCTCTGTCTTGTCTTCTTCGGTGCCTTACGATCAGAATTCGTTGCGCCCTTTCCAGGTTACCAACTGTTTTGCGCGGTAACTTGCTGCAAGATTGGATGGGGCATAGGCTGCCTTAAGGACGGTAGTATTCCCTCCAGCTGGGGTCAAAAATATTATCATGCTTTTAAACATACTTCTGGTTGTCCTCGTGGCCCTATAAGAACAGGCAAACATGAGACTGGATGTTCTGCATCAACAGCAAACGGCAGCTTCACTCCCCCTCCTCCTCCTCCTCCTCCTCCTCCTCCTCCTCCTTACTATGAATCGTTTTATTTTGTTTGGATTACCTGCACGCTATTTGCTACAACGGAGTTGCATTCAAGTGCAGAATATATCCTTGTAGCAATGAACAAGTCTACACCGTTAAAGACAAATAACAGACTTCTTTTAATTACTGCGTGCTTTAACATACCGGTCAGAACGCGTAGTTGGGTGTTGAATTCGTGTCTCGATTGTGGGGTAGAACACGTGCCTGGACTATGATCAATTCATTTATTCCGATAAGCACCAATGTCTACTTCTATGAGTTCATTAACGTGTAAGCCCCCCACCCCACCATTCCGATTATTTTAATGGGCTTTCGTGCAAACTTCTAAGTAACTGGAATAGGACGACAACGAAAGGAAAACTGCATTTTTAGTTATCAGGCGTCAATCGTGCTTCCAGCTTCGGTTGTTCACGTTGGAGTGAATCAGTGTTACAAGAATGTGAGCCAAAAAGTCGGTAGACGTTTGCCGACGGTCCATCGGTCTACCGTAACTTGAGTCGCTACTTACTGCGCAGTCCTTGTATATCTGCCTCTAGCTCCTTTTCGCGCTTCATGTTCGTTCGACTAAGCAACCAGCAGAGCCTCGCTGCTGCCCATGAGAGAATTCTTCCTTGTTAAAAAAAACATGTCGAACCACTTTCGCATCTCTTTCACGGTCTACATTGTCCTGATAATTAATTAATTAATTAATTAAGAGATCCGGGTTGATAATCTGAGAAATTATTGCTATGCTGACGTTTTGAAGTGCTTGGTCGGATGTCTATTTTCAAAGCGATTACTGCAGGTACTCAAGCAGAAGCGGAATTAGCGTGCCATGGTGCATTGGCCAACGCCAGCCCATATTGCCAG